ATTAAAAGTAATGCTTGACACTTCATTAGCTCATTAAATTAAATTACAGACAGATTGCTGGGGTTTGGGTTTTTTTGGTTTGGTTTGGTTTTTTTGTTCGATTGGTTTTGTGATTGTTGTTTTGGTGGCTTTTTTAATGAAATATCAGAAGGGATCTAAGTAACTTTCACTGCATTTCTGGGACAGTTATTTCCAACTGATTGCTGCATGTGCTGTTTGGAAATTGTGTATCATTGGTGTACACATAATCTTACAGCTATGCCAGCATATTTTATAATAAAATTTTGCATCCAAATTACAGCTATATAACGTAATGGGCTATTTTTTTTTTATACCATCTCCAGCCATGCATCCAATGCACACAAAGCAATTTCTTGGCTTACAAGACTTCAAACCATAAGACCACTGAAGAGCTGTGAATTAAACATAGTGCAAGTAATGATGGCATTTGTGGTAGCATATCAAACCGGGATGAAAATTGCACAGCCTCTCAAATATCAAACTTTGGGGCTGATTCATTCAGTGGGTCTGTGACCTGACAAGGCAGTATGATTAATTGCACACATATTCCCTGGGAGGTTTTCCTGCTTGTGCTTTCTGCAGCAAAGATTGTTAGCTTGACAGATCAGCATAGCAGCCTCTTAAGATGCCAGACAGGGAAGCAGTTGGTTTCTGATTGAAAGTTAATGGAGGAATAGTGGCTGTATCACACTGAGGGGGAAAACAATCAAAAAAGCAGCCTTTGATTCTCAGAGAAATCACACACAGAATATGCAATATTTGCATAATACAATAGGTGTAATGATTAGAAATTCAGCCATGCTTCCTTTTGTCTGATTACCTAAATATAAGCCATTGCCTGAGGGTTTTTTTATTTAGTTGTTGAACACTATTCTAGGTGTCTCCTCTTCCATGTGTTTGTTCTTGGCTTTAAGACACTTTTGGCCATTTAGGCTAAAGTTTGCAGAAACCCTGATTTGGCAGGCAGCTCCCATATCTGCAGAGCTGAGCAAAGATGCTTGCACAGCATATTCCTTCTGTTCACAGGCAATCCACACTGTCCTGCCATAGGACCAGACCCACTGCCAATTGAAAACAGGTTTAATTTTTCAAGTAAGGCCCAAACCCCTAGCTAACTTCATCAGACACTTCTTCAAGGATGCTTAATCCCCACAGCCCTGTCCATTAAAGGGTTTGAAACACTGACCAATGTTTCCCATTTTCCAGCTGGACCCTGACAGGAAACACACACTTGATGGAATCCTTCATGTAGTGTGTGAAATGAGCTGAGCTGAGTGGTAGCCCTGTGTAGACATCCCTGCTCCTGTGGGCATGACACCACAGCCCTGGCTCAGGAGCAAGGGCTCCCAGAAGAGAACAGCAGCTGGGGAAACCCTATGGGCAGCAGCACCAGGGCAGGTGTGGGTGGGCAGGGGCAGACTGAGCTGAGGTGGCAGATCTATGGAGAGCTTTGCACTCTCACACTTTGAGACATCTTTATTCTGTTCTAGGACAAACCCCTCAAAACACACCTGGAAGTGCATGTCTGGAAACAGACCATTGCTACCTCTCCACTAGACTTCCCAATTTGCATCCTGTGGCACCTACTGAAGGGCCCAGGTGATATTAGTCCTTCAAATCTAGAGGTCTTCTCTGGATCCTTGTCAAGGGGCTACATTTATGGCAGAAATGATGGGTAATGATCTTTTAAAATGCCTCTGGATACTTCTGTGACATCCCTCATCTGCTCCAAGCATTGAATTAGCTTCTTCATTCATTAGCTAAATTTTCTAATATGTTGTGAAATCTTGTCTATTACTGGCAATACAGGAATACATAAAGGCAGGAAAAGTGCACCAAAAAAAAAAGTTCCTATTACTTCAACTTTTAAAATCAGCCTAAGAAGCTAACAGAGAAAGCTGCTGTATAAACAAAATGATTTAATTGCAGTACATGAAATAAAAGGCAGGTCTTACTGAAGCAAAGCAGTAGACAGCATGACAGAACAAAATTCCTCAAAGCAATGGCATATAAATATTGAATAAAATTCAAAATTCAAAAGCCGACTCTGCAGATGGCTCTGGGAAAAGCAGCCACTCTGGCAGCAAATACATTTCAGAGAATATACCACAAAAACTGGAAATCTGCAAAGCCAAGGAGGAAATCAGTGAATAATCCACTAGAAGGAAATCCCCAGCTTCCACAATCAAGTACAGGGATTAGAAAGACATTTCTAAATCAATGAGGGGCAGGCTGGGACAGAAGAGTGAATTCTAGGATTTTTTTTTTCTTCTTAGCATCACACACTGACATGCCAAGCATATACCTACTGCCTATCCTTGCATGCCATTTTAGATGTTTAACTTGGGATGTTAATTTCTTTGCAAAATAATTTAATATCATCTCTGTAACCATTACCTACTTTCAGAAGTGTTTGCAAATGGCATTTCCAACAGATTTAAATATATGATTGCAAATCAAGTGAGCTGCATCAGCTCAATTTGCTTCTAGCCTTTTGCTCAGAGGACCAGCTGAACAATTCAGTCACAAAAGCTTCTGGAGCAAAACTAGAGCGGATTTTGCTAATCTGGATTTGTGAGCCCAAGCTACTGGTTTAAAAATTCACAATGAATCTGTGTCACTGTGGTTTTCCTTCTCTCTTGGGAAAACAAAGGATGGATGCATGCAGAAAATCAGGGTTATTGCCTTTAACTGTTAAAGCTGTCAAAGGGAAATAGATGAGGAGAGCTTGCCACCACCACATCCAGGCAACCAAACCACCCTACAGCAGCAGCTTTCTCTGATTTGCAGAGTGTGAACAAGTAATACATATATTTCAAAAAATAGTAACCAACCCCCTTAATCAGACACATGATGCAATGTTTTGTGGGTTGCTGAGGCAAGAAGATTTCAGAGGATGCAAGCAAGGCCATGGCAGTGAGACACCAGTGAAACGAAACACAGTGTGTTTTGCAGGACAGCTCTTGCAGAAGTTGGCAGGTTTTTCTCTGACAGGCTGAGAGCTCACAACCTCTCTTCACCCAGTATATCCAGCACTATTCTTTTCAGCAGCCTGAGAGAGAGGGTACTTGTGTAAGCCTGACAACAGGCACCTCCAAAGGGGTGATACTTAACACAGAGAACCGGAAAATTTTTCTCGCATGAAGTATTTTTCATCCACAGGACTTGAGGTGCTTGAACATGCAACCAACACCAACTGCATCTTACATACAGAGTAACATGCCAAGAAGCATCAAGTTTCTGCCTCCACAAACATATTTCTTTAGCTTCATTTGCCGGAACAGTTATCCCAGTGTGGACTGGGACCAGAGGACTCTCCAAAGTCAGAGGAAGTAAGCAGGAGAGTGGGGAATGACCTCCAGTCACCCTGCTGCCTCTGCCATACATTACCCTCCTCACTGGACACCACAGTGTGTACGATATGTACAAAACTAGAACCAGACAATACAATTAATCTGAAAGGGACACTGGGCAATACAAGCAGGTTCGTCACTGTGCCATGTGCCAACAAAGCTTTCAGGCTTTCAAATCTGGCACTTTTCTCATCCTTGGGAAATACTTTTGCTATGTGTTAAAATCAGAACAAAACACAAGGTAGTTAAACGTAATGCTAAGAATATCAGAGATTAGTACGATGCACGGTACGTTTAGAATTCCAGAATTGTTAATGTAGATGAAAACACTTTGCTGGTAATCACTCACTTTCCTGACTGAGCCACATGCTTTTCCCTATTGCACCCTAGTCCTGCAAAACTGCACAGCTCATCCCAGAGGGGTCCAGCCCTGCTGGAGCCAGCATGATTGCTGCAGCCCCCTGACTATGGCGTGCAAAAAATGTGCTCAGAGAAACTGCCAGGAATATGGAAATCTCTGCACTGAGCAAGTGGACTAGAACTAGGACTCCTGTCGTACACGGCAAGGAGCTGGGGCAAGCAGAGAAAGGGAACCCAGCAATATTCCATGCCCAGACTGCCTTGCATTTTTCCCTCGGAGAAGCCCTTCACTGAGCTGGGATGGGCAGCTTAGTAGCAAATACCTAAAGCCCTAGAAGGACTTGATGTCCTTCTCTAGCTGTCCCAGGAGACTGGTGATATGTGACATTCCATGACTCGCCTCAGGTAGCACTCAGGCACTCTTTGGAGAAAATGCTGGTCAAACATATTCATGTAACACCACTCATGTAAAGTCCCTGCTTCTTACATGCTGAGAGCATTTTCATGAAGAGGGGATCTGAGAGGGGATCTGTGGGGACTGAATACCACCGAGGCAATAAAATTAGATCCAGTATTTAATCATCTTTTCCAGTAAATGTTTCATTTTTTGAGAAGTATTTCTGAGATATTTCTACATTTCTTCACAATGAATGAGTCATGATGAAAGACTTCATCTAGAGAGAATTTAAAGTTTGAATTTTAAAATTAAGTTCTACATAGTGAAAAAAAACCAAATCAGCACACTGTTATGTTTGTCTTAAACCTTGTTTCCAAAAGAAAATTTTTACAAAAAGAAAAATAATAAAATCCCAAAGGTTAAAAAACCCAAACCAATCAAATTTTATTCTTTTGGAAATATGGTCTATCTAAAGTACATATTTTAAATATTTAATAGTAAACATTAGCAAAGATCACCTTGTGGAGATGAAATGAGCATTATCATAGGATTTTATAAACGGTCTCAATTTAACTACGATCTGGGTAACTGTTGTTCAGCACTAACAGCCACAGCATATTTGATGCAGTGTAGATTTTTTTTTTTTGGTAGAATATACTTATTTACTGTCAGAGCAGAAATAGCAATGAGCTGGCATTTCATGGGGCAGTCTCCCAAGAACAATCCTGAGGCAAGAGCAACTCCACCATCACATCAGACACTGGAAGGAGGCACAGCTGAGTGCCCCACAGACCTTCAGGTATGTCAAGCTGCCCCATTGGAGACCTTCTTGCAGGTTTTTCTTTTCTGTCAGCAGCTTTGACACTCACAAATGCTTCCTCTTTTTTATTGCCTCTGCCCTGACAGCCAAGCTCTTGGCACAGATAGTCAGGACCACAATGAGGACTCCAACCAGGAATGTCACCACAGGCCAGAGGAAGCAGTGCAAGAGGACAGTCTCATCATGGGTGCGCTTCAGCATCACATCATCTGGCCTGTGAAAAGGAGAAACAGAAGACAGACGAAACATAAATCAACATCATCAATTCATCATAAGTGGAAATCATCTGCCATAGAAAGCGTAAAGGTGTTTTATTTCCCACAATGTTAGAAAATGATCAAGTGGACAATCTCATTCACTGTTTTCACTTGCCCTTTTATCACCAGTACTTATGGCAGGCTGTGAGAGCTTTCCACTTGCAGTGTTTACAGGCTAACAAGTTCATTTGGAAGAGAAAAAGATAAAAAAAGGTAAGAAAAAAAGTGTTAGTATTTTAATTCTTCCAGGGATCATGGTTATCCCAGACAGCCGTGAGAGATACACTATCACACTGACCATGGACTGAGAAACCACTCCAGCAAAAACATAGTACCAGACATATCTAACTCAAATATAACTGTATATGCAGTTCTACATATCTATCTCAAATATCATCAGGTGCTGTGCAGTGGATTTAAAGTGCAATTAAAGGTTCCTTTTTTGCTTTGAGCACTGATGTGTCCACAGGGCTACATGGAGGCTCCTGATGAACAAGCCCTGCCTGTGGTTTGGGTCTGAGCAGAGAGCCAGTCCCTGTCCTCAGCACTGAACTGCTGGTGGCCCAGGCTAGCCCAGCTGTGCTGGCAGGCAAGAGTCTGCACAAAACCTATCCCCAGGAGTACTACAGCTGCCCCCAGGGTGGCCAAGGCTCCTGACTCAGCTCCTTCCCAGCAGTGGCTATTTCAGCAACAAGCTGTAATTTGGTGCTGCAAACAGCAACGTCTCAGTAGACTTGAGTAGGTTCCTATAGGGACACTTTGGGGAGCTTCTCCCAAAGATCTGAAGCTCCATGCCTTCACCAACAGCAGCTAGCACACAGTTGTGGTTGGGTTGGTGAGAGGTGTATGCATTTCCAAAGGGAAAGGGAGGGAGAAGAGAATAGCAAGGAGGAAACATCTCAAAATGTTTGGAAATTTAGCCATGCCATGTGTCTGAAAGATCAGTTGTCCATCTGCCTTTTCCAAGTCTAGGAAGTTGGTTGGGAAATCTGATAGCAGGTTTTTCTCAGCTCTGGGTCTTTCTGATCTCCCTGCAGGTCAACAGTTATTAAATCAGTTTCACATCATTTGCGCTTTGCTGCTGCTTTCCCATGTGCAGCCAGAGACACACAGTCTAATGGAAAACCATCTGAAAAGGAAAGAAACAGAACTTTCTCTAATTAGAAAAATATCTATAGTCTTGTCTCTTGTTGGTCCTCACTTACACTGAACACTCCCATCACATGTTGCATCATCAAACCTACCTGACACTCCTTGGCGCAACAAACCTCACAGCCTAAAATCCTGACCATCCACCAAGGTCCTGGGAATTAAGTTCTCCTAACAGTGGCACATGGGAGCAGATACCTGCTCAGTGATTGTGCTGTCTCTCCCCCAACAGCTTTGCCCTGATCAGAAAGCAGCCCTGAGGAAGCATTCCCTGCGGGGGAAACGAGAAACTCTTTCCTTCACTGATAAGCTGATTTATGGAGATGCCTGCAAATCTACAGTTTTATCCATCTTTAAGGATCTAGTGGAGCCAGACTGCCAAGCTACACCAGATCCCAGATTTAATTGCACCAGCATTTGCAGGTCTCTCATCCAAAACTGCTGTGTGGAGGATCCTCTGCACCATGCCAGCCTGCAAGTCCCCAAGGCTGGCAGCATACACTGCTGTTTGTGTAGTAAGGAGCAGAGTAAGATGCTAATTATGAACAGCTCAGCTACATAAAAGATGAAATTCAGCAACATGAAAAATTATCGAAAGAATACACTTAGAGAGGTGTATTCAACAGTGGAAAGCGTAAGTCTGCTCAACCAAAATCCTTCATAAATGTAAACAGGCACAGGTGGAGACTGTAAATTGAATAAAATATTATTAACTTTATGGGTCCAAACTCACCAGCCTATGCCACATGAATGACAGTACCTGAACAGAAAAATCCTTTCACAAGAGGTATAATACTGCTTCTTTCATATTCACTGTTAACTGTGAATAACAGAGCTCTAATTGGCAAGAAGGCCATAAGTAGGCAGCACTCAGTCCTCACAGCTCTCAGTTTACAAGTGACGTTGAATTTTAAGTCTTTTTTAAAGTAGATACTTATCAAGCAGTTCAAAAGCAAGGGGCAAGCAAACAAACTAGAAAATTGGATTTGGTTAAAGGAAAGAAAGGGTGATTGGGGAAAGCAAGATATCCTTTTGACTGATACTTAGATGTTTTGGAAAACATATCTACCAAAGGTAGCAGCTACGGATGCCAAACATTAATTATAGGTGTGACTGTAACTTAGTAACTTAAAAGAGCTTCCCTTTTGGAGAAGAGTCAAAGACAGAGGCCTTTAATTAAGCCTCAAGATGATGTTTGGATTCAGATGGATATTATTGCTATTCCTAGCTACAACAAGAGTTCCTGTGCAATTCTTACATGGCAGAAAGTGTGCGGTGTCACCTGTTCACAACATCTTCAGACATCAAGACATGACTGGGTCCCCCTGCCAAAATGCTTCATTAAATGACTACTGGAACCATATTTAAGACGTTAAATGCCCTTCTTTAGTCAAGAGGAGAGAATAAAACTCCTGGACAGTGACCTGACACACAGGAGAACTCATGGACCCTCCTGGATGCAGCCTCTCAGTACTGACTCTTGGCATCAAAAAATGGTGGGATGAATTTGGACAAATTCCCACAGTTTTGGGAATCTGGAGACATCCCAGTTGACTGGAAGTTGGCTAACCTTGTCCCAGTTTTCAAGAAGGGCAAGAAGGATGACTCTGGTAACTACAGACTGTCAGTCTCACTTCACCGACTGGTAAAATCATGGAAAATATTATTCTGGGAACTACTGAAAAACACCTGAAGGACAATGCAGTCATTGGTCACAGCCAGAATGGCTTCATAAGGGGAAAGTCCTGTTTGTCAATCTTAATTTCCTTTTATGACAAGGTAACCCACATAGTTGATCAAGGGAAGCCACTTGATGTAATCCTTTTGGATTTCAGTAAAGCTTTCAATACTGTCTCGCATAGTATCTCACAGCACATAGCTGGATAAGCACATCATGTGATGGGTGAGTATCTGGCTCATGGGTCGGGTGCAAAGGGTTATGGTGAATGGGATTACATCAGGCTGGTGACTGGTCACTAGTGGGGTTCCACATCTTAGGCCCAGTGCTCTTCAAAAGCTTCGTAAATGACTTGGATGCAAGACATACAAGGAGTGGCTGAGGTCGCTTGACTTGTTCAGCCCGGAGGACACTGCAGTCTACAGCTTTCTCATGGAAGGAATGGGAGGGGCAGGTACTGATCTCTCCTCTTTGGTGACCAGTGACAGGACCTGAGGGAATGGCCTGAAGCTGTGTCAGGGGTGGTTTCGCTTAGATATTAGAAAAAAAGGTTCTTCACCCAGAGGGTGATAGGACACTGGAACAGGCTCCCCAGGGAAGTGGTCACAGCACCAAGCCTGACAGAGTTCAAGAAGCATTTGGACCATGCTCTAAGGCACATGGAGTAATATTTAGGGATGTCCTGAGCAGGTCAAAGAGCTGGATTCAATGACTCTTGTGGGTCCCCTCCAACTCAGAATACTCTGTGATTCTGTGACACTTGAAACACAGTAACATAACTGCTTTGGTTTTGCATGGCAAGGCCAGCATGTTCTGAAACTGCAGTTTAGACGTTTTCTTGCTACTTTTTTTGAGGTGGCCTGCCTGTTCCCAGAGTCTGAAGGCTTGTTTGAGTTGGAAACAGAAAAGGAAAGGTACTTTTTCCCTGGGGAAAACCTTCTCATAGCAAAGACATGTCTGCTGGAAGCCCCTGTAGCATCACTCCCCTGGTGCTAAGGCAGTGATGTTGAACCCAAGAGAGGTACATCATGCCTGGAAACATGATTATTTTCCCTGTGAAAATCAGCAGATATAATTACACATATTGCCTTATCCCTATAAGTATAGTGCATTTAATAAACCTATGCCCATAATAAACCTGTCTTTTCACATAATACTTTGGTTCAAAGATGTTGGCAGAGACTGCACATATTTCCCCTAAGCTCAATTGTGGGCAATCTCTTGTTTCTAGCAGTGCTTCCATTCAGCTCTCCAGTAAATGTCAAGCCTCTTGGGGGGATGCACCCAAACTCCTAACACTAGTTATCTGTGCACAAAACAGTGCCAGAGGCAAGAGAGAGACCTAGTGGGACAAAAGGAGGAAAAAACCCAGAATACTTCTAAGACCTGCTCAGGCATTGAGACCTGGTTTTGCTGCAAGCAGTGATGGCCACTGTGCAGCACCACCACCCAGTAGCAGCCCCAGGGTGAAAGAAAAACAAACAAACTAAAATAAAGCTCTGAAGGATTCTCTACCTTAACCCTGAAAACACAGCTGGTCCTTTCACTGAACAGACAAGGAGGAAGGAATTTTGTTTTCATTGCTAAAGGTGAGACCAGGACTTATTTTTAGCAGGACTTTGAGCTCAGGGCTAGAGCCTTGCGGGCCTCTGAACAGGACTAACTGGATTAGTTGTTGTATTATACAACACCTCCCTGTTAGGCACTGCCAAGTAGTTCGCCCAGACACGGGGTAAAGCAGGCCTTCATCAGAGCCTTCAGAGCAACTGCTGAACATCATGGGAATTGCAGTACAGGGATTACCAAGGGGTCATGTAGGACCAAAAAGTTACAGGGACATAAACATTTTAGTCATCACTGATGAACCACCCAGTGCAACTTATATTACACAATGAAAGCTGATGGAGGTGGGAACAAGAGACAGGGAAACCTTACAAATATTTTTTCTATTCAATCTGATTTAAAGATGCTTGTAATGTACATACACTTATTTTGTCCAAAGTTTTTCACAAGCCCTCACTCTGAGAAGCACTCTTCAGTATTTTTTCTCTTATTGTTGCAAGACACAAAGATCCTCAGCTGGACAGCTGCATGCAGGGGCAGTGCTGGGTCCTACTAACAGTGAAGTCCTTTATCTCTCAGGTCCAAGCACTGCTCCACAGGTGATACAATAAAAGAAAGGACAGGAAATAGTAACACCATCTTCTGGAATTAATTTAAAGAACTATGAAGTACCAGAGCAAACCAAGATGTTTTATCATTTATGGCTGAGCAGCCCTACTACCTGAGCATCCTTGGCTTCTACACATAATTATTCCCAGATAAATGGGGACCCTGCGGGGTACTCCAACACCATGCAGGTTGTCACTAATCACAAGACAGTGTTTGCTCATCAATTCTCTGATGAATTAGTGTACAGCTTTCTGCAGCAAACACGGAGCAGGTTAAAATGTGGCTGACTCATCTGCTGTGCTGTGGCAAAGGAATGACAGAGCATTCTTACCGTACAGGATAAACCCCAAGCTATAAAGAAGTAACTCCATATAAATCAGCCACTATTAAGAAATTACTTGGCACATACTTGTTGCTTGGCCTATATCTGCATGGCATGAGAGAGGTCTGATCTGATGGAATCTTGGCTTCTCTCTTTGTTCTTGTGGTGATGTCAATGAGACCTGAAGCATGAAGAAATAAAGTGACAGGATCTCCCCAATCCTGCCCATTCCCACAGGCCTCTAGCTTTAGGGCATGCAGCTGTGACGCTTGTTTGCATGTGATCATGACTACCCTGATACACACAGTGTGAGATCCAGAATGCTGAAGCACTAGAGCCCAGTGCCTCCCCAAACCTTTGGCAACAGCCTGAGAACTTTACCTGAATCTGTCCTTTATTTTGTGCTTTGAAACACTGGGGGTTGGTTTCTGCTGGGCAGGGCTTCCTTCAGACTGTGGTATCACCACTCCAACAGGCAGGCACATTCACCAGAAGTCCAGAAAAGAAACTTTCCCATGCCAACTTGCACCCCTTGTCCCAAAGCTAGCTGGAGAAGAGTGGGACACTAAAGGTAAGTACCTACAGTGGCAAAGCAAGACCTAACTTTTCAATAAAGAACTGAGCTCCAAACTAAGCTGTGTTTTGGTTCCCTAAAATAAATGTCAGACAGCAAGTTTTGTTGAGCATCTCAATTTTTATTAAAGAAGAATGATTGAAATTGCCAAGTCTGCTTCTCATCCCTTTTGTATAACTTTGAACTGTAAGAATAGCATCACTTTCTTCTTCTTTTCAAAGTAGCCTGTTCAAATGTGCACCACCAAACTGAAGGGACATGTTACCCAACATCACACTTTGCATGCAGCAACGATTCTGACAATGAAGCTGAATTAAATTTCTTGAAGAGGAGATGATGTTAATTCATTGTCTATATATTTACCTGGAATTTTATTCTGCCATTTCAAAAGAGAGAGTATTTAGACTTAAAATACTACTCTCTCTAAGGAACTACTTTCTATATATTTTATACAGATTGATACAGCTTATTCACACAGTGAAAAAAAATACTGACAGAAAATATGCATGCTTGTATTTTTAAGGATGTAGACTTTTCCATCAGTTTGTTATGGGGTTTTTTTTCACTGCTCCACAAGCTGCTTAGTCATTATTGCTCTAAAAGTATACCTAAGCAAGCACATTCCTAGTCAGCAAAACTTATCTCCCAAAGCTCATTCCTATCTCCAGAATAAAATAGATGGTGTTCACATTTTGGCTTAGACTATCTTCAAGTATCTCTGGCAGTGAGCCTCTCTTCTGCTGTATATGAATTGTTGTATGATCAGCAAAAAGCAGTGTTTCAAGGCAGCCACTGCACTGGCAAGAACATTTAGCATACAGGATTCAGCATCTTAAGGGAAAAAACACCTTACCTGAGTGCTGTACAATTCCTGAGTGTCAACTTACATAAATAGCAGATGCTAGGCAGTATACAGCCTCAGAAAAATCTTTCTTTCATCTAAATGTGAGGTAAGAACCAGCTCACATAGCTCTGGACACCTACCACCCTATGCTCCTTTACAAGAGAGAAATAAACATCACTGGGCATCTGACATATATTAGGCATTTATTTTGGAGTAAGATAACAGGCTCTTATTTCTCTCCACCGACTGTAGAACCTAACTTTCATAGCATGCTGTCCACACCAGTTCAGACTAGCCATGACTCCTCTCACAGACAGTCCCATGTTTCTGACTCTCCTGTTCACTCCAGCAGCAGCTGCCTGCCCAGAGAAGCCAAAATCATAACTTGGCTCCTGGTTAGCAGACCCAAGCATTGGCACTATGTAGACCAAAGGAGCTCCCAAGAAGGTCCTTGCCAGGTCTGAAGTCACCACACAGGATGCCCTAAGTTTTAACCTCTATGTGCTGTATGCAGTGCTTCTTTCCCCTCTTTAAGGAATAATTTTTTGCCTCAACACTTTGATGGTTTCCCTCTGCAAAGAGTTAACCAGGGACAACAGGCTGTCATCCCGGGCATTCTGACTAGATCTACAGTCACTCCAGGGTGGGGACAAGAATTATAGCCAGTCTAGGACAAACCTGAAGCCCCCGAGGCACTCAGTGGGCCACCCACAGGAGTGTCAGGCATTTCTCCACCTGCCACCCTGGTCCAACTCCCTGGTTTGTCCAAGCTCCAAGCACATAGTGGCATCCACTTTCCTCCTGTGTGTCTTAACGAACTTATATATCTGGTGCCAACACTCCCTCCTAAGTATCCCTCATCTATTTAACTTCCAAGTGTTTGTGGGGTAGGACTAACCCCCTCCTGCTGCCACATCACCTTTTATTTCCCAGCATATCACCATCAGAAAGAGACAAGCAACAGGACTCCCTCCCCTTTCCGCTTACTGAAGGAAACCACACATCACCCTCATACACATGTAAGTCACATCAACATCAGTAGTAAAAGTGAGAATCGAAAGAGAAGAGGAGATGCTTTAAGTTACAACTCTCTACTCTGCAAGCATGCGTGAAAACTGGCAGCTCTGTGAACATTTATTACACATCTGATTCATTAATCCTCTATGAACACAATTCTTCCAGCCCCTCATGAACACAGTAGGGTTTCTTTTCCGTGGAGAGAAGGAACATTAATATCCAAGCCAGAAATCTGCCATCTGACTATTAAAAGCCAAGATGCTTTTTGACATAAAAATTGCATGTTTTAAGGAAAACTTTACTCAGAGTTTTATATTTTTCTTCAAGTGGTAAAAATGCTCCTTTGCTTTCCGTGTAGCTTCTCATCAACAGAATCGTCTTGCGAAGCTCTGCACTGAGCTCTGTGTGATGAACGACATGGCCCTATGGGGGCAGGGTGTGTGCATGCATATGCATGCATTTATATATATTTTCAAACAGAACCAGTGAACAGCTGCTAAACAGATGCATAAGAACTTCTGCCTAGCCAAATGTGATTACTCACCTCAAGTGCTGGTTAAAATAGCATGTAAATGGCTGAGAACCCACTTTCTCTTTCCAGTATTTCTGCTTGTACGTGACGTTCTCAGAGTTCTCCTGATCATCTCTTGCACAGGGAGGGATGTACGAACACTGCCAAGACATATTGCAAAACAGAGTTACTCAAGAACACAGAGCATCGCTTCTCTTCATTTTCCTCATAATACCAGTGTGACTGAAATGGGCAAATAAGAAGCACAAGCTCCAAAGGAACAAAACAGACTAGCTGAACTGTACTTCAAATTCTAGTTACTCCCTGCAGGTACTGGGAAAGAATATGCCAGCATTCAGAAACAAAATAAAGGCTTTGTGATGTTTTGTTCCATTATCAAACCAAACTGCCTCATAACACCTTGGATTTTTGCATGACAAATGTGACAATGATAGTTTCATTCTGACGTATTCCTAGCCAGCTGCCAGGTTTGGATTTGAATAACTTCCTATTTTTGGTGAGACAAATAGTCAGAAGTTTTGTTTAGTATCATGCTAATAAATAACCCAAGGAGTCCAGCAAGCTTTCCAAGATGACAGGATATCTGGCTGATATCCACTGGCAAAAGAAGCTATTCTTCCACTGTTACAACATGGGGAAACAAGCACAGAAAGTTCACGGCCCCTCTTCTGCAGAAAGGTTCAGCATCTGCTTCTGCTGTACAGAAGTCAATGAGAGTTGAGCATGCAGCTGAGCTATCTGCAGATCTCACCCTCAGACATCTGCTTCAAAGCCCAAAGATATCAAGGCAAGTTCCTCTCCCAGCCCAGGTGCACTTGGGACTGGGCTTTCAGAGGTTTCCCATCGTTCACACACATGCACATACCTTGTTTCCAAGTCTTGTCTATGACACACGACCCTTACCTCCTAGCCACAGGCAGCTGAACAACAGAAAACAAATACTCCATGGAATCAAATGTTGGCAGTATCAGGATCTCAGTGTCCAAGCACAATCCTTCCTACTGTTATCAGGCATCCATATGGGAGACCATTACAGGAGATGTTGAACCACACTGAGTAACTGATCCTTGGATAACACAAAGGTTTTTCACTGTGCAGGACAGATGGACACCAAGGCTCCAGCTGCACACACAGAATTTTAATTCCTTTAAAATTGTGAGCTACAAGCAGAAAAAAAAGGTGACTGTGAAGGTAGCTAAAAAGCCTCCTACTTCAGTAGGATGAAGAAGCAGGAGATGCAAGGTGTGGGAAGGCTCTAAGAGGGTGCCCACAACATTTCTTCACAGTATCCTGAAGGCACTAACAACAAAGAGAGATACCCTCTCTAAAATGAAAATAATATCACCATGACTCTGTGCCTAGTGAGTGCTTCCTCTCCTTCTTCTGGTGAGGTTTCACAGGAGCCTACCTTGCCCCAGCTGCACACTATACCCAAGCTGTACAGACCTACAAGACCATTTCTACCATACAACAGCTTGAAGCTTTGCCATTCCAGGGGAAAGGGAGAAAACTCACGGGTTTATTCACCCAGTCTTGTAAAATCTGACCACTTCTGTCAGCTCCTACAAATGCTGCCAGTATCTTCCATGCTTCAGACGAATAATCTGCAAGGCGTTTCTTGTTGCTTTCAAGATGAAACTCAGAATTTACAGAGGGAAGGCTCCCCATTTTCACATGGACCAATATCTGGTGCTGCCATGGCACAGAGCTCCCTTTAGTTCCATGTTCAGATGACCCTAAACAAGGATTGTTCCACTGCTGACCATGAAGAACAGAAATGATCGGCAACACAACTCTACTTCAGAAACAGGAATACAGGATTTATCACATGCAGTTATTGCCATCTTAGATAATATTCCTTGGTCAGTGATATTTTTGGTTGATTATGTACTTCGGAAGCATCAACCACTTTCTGTTTTCCTCCACACTCCCAGTGAACAAACATATATGTGCAGCAGCTGGACAGAGTCAGCAAATTTGGCATGAAGACACCTGAGGGCAATCCTGACTCTGCTCTTTCCCCCTGACAACACCAACATGTTGCATCATCCCAGCTGGTCCCCTCTTCTGTGCTGGGCCTGAGGTCCAGCACTTCCATCCTTCTCTACACTGATGTTTTTCTTTATGAATCCTTTCAGATCCTGCTTTGGAAACAGTACCATATCCCACCAGTTGCACACATACTGCCTACATCTGACTGTAATCACCACCCTGTCCTTCCCCAAGCCCCAACCTTGTAGATACGCTCTTGCAATACAGGGATACAAGAGAGTAGAAGTAAACAGGCTTTATTCAGAGCACCCCGGAAACCAACCACTATTTACCCAGGACACAAAATGCAGAACTAGTCAAAACAACTAAGTACCAATACACTTTCTTCATCTATCTCAAAAACTCCTTTTCCTGTGGTACCAGCTCCCCTCTTTCCTCTGAAACATCTCTTCCTCATGGCTGAGCCTACTGCTGCCCTCTGCTATGAAAGTGCAGCCACCCTAACACTCCTGGCTAAACTTTCTCTAGATCCTTCAGAGACCTTCCACTCCCCAAAAATATTACGTCAATCCTTCACAAAGTTTGCAATCTGGTGAACTGTTGTTTAGCCCCATCCAGAGTTTTGGGCTTAGAAACAAGTGCAGAGGTCTCTTTTCCCAAAAGAAGACCATCCGAACAGACAAGTATCAAGCTGTACCAGTCTCCCAGGACAGCCCTGTAACAGATTACTTCACAATTTTTACCATCAGTTCCCTCACTTTTAGCTCAATATGAAGATATTAAAAATTGGTTTGGAAGATGTAAAGGAACCTACGAACAACTTCTCTGATCAACAATTCTGTCTTCCCCCATGTCAAACGAAGACAGTGTATGGGAGTACTGCCAGTACCTACAGGAGGGACACCTGGTAGTCAGGGACAACAGTGAATACACTCCATAACGCAAACTTCACACTACTCTCTGCACAAGTAATCCCAATGACAGCTCACAGAAAGCATGCTGGATACATTTCCTTCTCTTCCTCTTTATCTTCATCTGGAGAACAGCAAGAAGACACCCAGGGTCTTACTGTAAACCAGTGTGACCTCACTGCTTGAGCCTCTTGAGGATTAACCATCCTGAAGAAAGGAGTGGTCCCTGTCCAAATATGAATCCCAGGGGTCACCCTGAAACACCTACTCAACGTGATGAAGGCTGTGAGCCACAGCGAACATCCAAGGTCTAACTCCAATGTGAATTTATCACCTGATACACAAACAGTGGAGCTTGTTTGCCTTCCCAGGATGCCACCACAGTCCTCACCAACCCAACATACATTTTGTACCCTCCTGATCCACATAGGTGGTGGATCTCGCTTTTCACAGCCTCCCAAGCACAATTCTTGGGGACTTTGCTTGATCAGCTGTATCACCCTCCAAAGCACAGTCAGAAGGCAGATAAAAGGGAATCGTAACCTCACAACATTTGCTGACAAGAGTTGATGGATGACTTTTGAAATGACCTCCACTTTGACAACAGGCAGTTTCTGAAAAGTTAATTCCACAGTTCTCCCTCAGAAGACACAGCTTGAAATACTGCCGTCAAAACATAAACACATGTCAAGTGTTTGAAAGCAAGCTAGGACACCTTGTGCTCAATCGCAGCTTGTGCAGCAACATCCATTTTCAGTGGAAGTGTCCCACTCTGCATTGCTTTGATGTTTTTTTCATAACCATGTTACAATCAAGTTGGAGAATAGCACTTAAGATTAGACAGTCAGAATAAATCTCATGGAGTGGAGGCATTTTCAGCAGATCTGTGGGTACATGGTGCTGTAACCACACCTCCTGCACTATGCCACAGCAACAATAATATTATTATGTAATTCCAACACAGTTTCAATTACACAGCTCAAAATCAGTATTGGGCTAATAATATTCCCTCTTTAATCAAAACCATTGTTTGGATAGATGGCTCAGAATTCAATTCAGTAAAAATGTCAGTGAGCAGCCAATACATACATACACTCCACCTGAGGAGGGGAGTGATAAAGCGGCTGGGTGGGCACCTGGCATCCAGACAGGGTGAACCCACCACACCAAGCAATGCACAAGCTTTTCCTAACTCTGTGTGTGAGCATCTCTGTGCATTACTGGCTTACCTTCATGGCATGGAAGGGAGAAAGCACTGCCACACTGTGGCAGGAGATGAGCATGTGGACTCGCTCCATTAGTACAAAAAATTGCCCCCTACCAGCTGACTGTACTGAGAGAGCTAGAGCTGAGCACCATGCCTGTTTTTCACCTGCATCTGTCAACACACATGATCATCATGCATCATCTCCACAACCCACCAGGAGTGACCAAACACACAGCCCCTCACAGAGGCTCAAGGCAGTGAGTAGTGCCTCAGATAAGACAAGGGGGTGGTGGGGTTTATCCGTGGCCCCTGGGGTTGCTTCCAGAGGAACTGACAGACAGCATCTGCATAGTTTGCCTGTCACAGGTACCAGCCCAAACACAGAGCTGATGCTTCACTAGATACATCAGACAGACTAGACTCTCTGAAAATTATTGTAAAGTTGGGCATATTTTGTTATGAAACCTCCTCTGTCATAGGTCATCTTCAAAAGAATCAAAAAAATCAAGCTCAATTCTGTTTACAAGTGCACAGAAGAGATAACTGCACATTATCTTTCAGGCAGAGCAGCATCTGGTTGCTCTGCTCCCCTGCCCAGAGATGAGGATGGGGAGAACCAGGTTCTGTTGCACAGCCGTCTTACCAGTCACTCCCTTAAAAATTTCATAGACAAAACAGTGGGCAATTTCTTCTGACCGTACACTTTACTACAGGTGTAGGAAGGGAAAAGTCTAAAAAGCTGGAAAGCAAACCCTTTTAGCAGTTGACACTTTTCCCAGCCAACCTTATAGCCTGGTCCCTGCACTGGCTGTATGAGCTGCTGAAGTACTCAATGGCCAGAGAGTGATAGCGACAAATTGACTTTGGAATTAATCCTCCTTAAGCCTTATCTCAGAGATTATTATTGCTATCAAGGCAGCTGAAGAAAGGCTACTGTCACTCTGATGAAATTTCTTCCTCTGAGACAGCAATCAAAGAAGGAAAAAAAAAGAAACCCACAAATCACTCAGGCTGAACACAAATGTAATCGTGTCCGGAGCTTTATATACGCATTCCTGGATTAACTCTGACCCAGCTATATAATCTTTTAAGAGCTAAAATGAATCCTGGGCTGTACAATGATGTGATTATCTTAGAAAGCAAGGGAGGAAAAAATTCTTTTTCCTGCATCTAGAACAGGCTTTTCCTCACTAGAACAGACAGATTCTTAGCTGCAATATGGTTATATGCCAGCCCACTCTACTACAGAAAGTAGAAGATTTTTAGTCTGATACACTGGGGATTTTTGAGGGGAGTGAAGCTGCCAACTGATTCAGTATTTTTTTGTGTTGTAAGGAGACTGAACTATGCCTTTTCCACACCACTGATTTACAGAGAAAAATTGGTGCCCTGCAAAGAGAAGAAGCTAAACAGAATGTAAAATTTAAAGACTGTGCATAACGAAATTGGATATTTTTTCCCCTTCTGGTTAGTTGGAACTGATTAGCACATTGTCTGTCTATTGCATGAACACAAGGATGTGTGCTGCAAGAAGGCAATGGGACCAGGGAGTGTTAAACAGCTCCTGAAGTGTTCGTTCATAAATACTTATAGGATCCCGAGCATTAAATCCAGCAGATTCCTACTCTGTTGTTCTAACCAACCTATTTAATCATAAACTCCTGACAGCTTTTAAAGACAGTAAGACTTTAAGACAAAAATTAAAAGGATAGTATAACTACTCAGCTTCACAGTCACTGTGGAACTATGGAAAAAAAGGAAAACCTAAGCAACAGATAAACAGACTACATTATCTTAGAAGGATATGTCTTCCTGATGAGACCTAAACAACTTTTCTTATTTCGTATTGGTTTTATATAAACTTCTTAAGGTAAGGAACATTTTTTCTATGTATTTTTCCACTTAGTTAAATTCAATTGCTACCAGAGAATGCAGTTACATCAAAAAAAAATGTAGCCTTTCTGCTCGGTCTAGTAAATCAGATTTAATCCTCAGTAACCAATAACCCAGGGTAAACAATCCACACCTAGAGATGCAAGGTGGAAGGTAAAGAAAACAGATTACAGAAACGCAAGTACCATGCACTGCTAACACACAGCCCTGTTTCCTTATCAATTGTTAATATAAAATCAACCATTAAATAAAAATAAGTTTCTGAGTGACATTTAGAGGCATTACTTCTGAAGCTCAGAGTGCCTCCCTGCAAAAACTGCAATCCAGCTCTTGGGCAGATACAATCCTCCTCTTCCCACCAGATCCAGAAAGGCAGAAGAAAATAGAATGAAGAAGTAAAAAGAAATCAAAACACTTGGACTACTCAGAGAGATATTGCAGTCGCAGTCCAATTTGAAAGCCTCTGCTGAAACTGTGGATGCTGCCAGAGTTGCTGAGCCCAGGCACTCTGGTGGCATGGCTCAGCACCCACCTCCCACCCCCCACAACGGGGCCATTGGGCCATGCTCAGGGAGAGCTATGCTGCACCCTCTGCAGCACCACAGCATCTGTGCCCATAGCAAAAACGTGGCTTTTCTCCTGCATTTTACCAACTAACCCTTGCC